AAGTCTGGTCGGTGGTCACGTAAGAACACGGAGCAGACAACCTCTAAACACTTTGGTTGATAAAGAGAGCTAGATAGCAAAGCTTTGTTCAGTTACATCACCATGTGAGGGTATCCAGGTTCAGTTATTAAACTACTTTCCAGAGTTCAAATTACATCAAATTCCAATAAACTTTAAAGCGACCATCGTCGTACCTTACTACCCTGTACGTTAAACGACTCGAAAGAGTCTGCAGCTCAGCCTCTATGGTGATTCCGTGTTAGGAACGAAAATCAAGCATTAATATCAGCTTGTAGCTTTATTTAACGAGTACTCACTATAAGAGGTCAGTCGAAACAGGTTGGTTTCCTGAGGGTGATTTTCTTTTCGAATCACGTGTATAATTATCTAGCGACGCTCGACGTTCTCATTAGTTTAATCGAACATTTTTGGTGGGAATCGACTAATTGAAATAGCCTATGCCTGTTGAGTTTTTTATCTCTCTCTTTCTCCTCGCTTCTCCCAAGCGCTTTGAGTTGTTCTTCAGCATTCATGCAGGGTATTTTATCAGTCTTCCGAGTTAATGGCCTGGCCGAGCGTGAAATCTGGCCCGGGCTGCATGGGCATGAAAAGAAAAGTTGAGAAATCAAGACTCGTGTAGCAGCAGACCGGGCCAATTCAGACCATGTCCGCGCCTCTCACAGTTGATGAAAAAACGAATTAGCATGATTAACCCGTGAGTGTGTGTGTGTGGGGGAGACGGCGGAGACAAGGAGAGTACCGTCTCTCTATCTTTCCTTCCACCTTGCCCTGATAGAAATGTAATTCTGAGTCAATCGGGGCCAACAAACAGGTTCAGAGCGGCCATTAGTGTGATTAAATGGGCCGGCACCAGAGTAGTCCGAGAGATCGGCATGAATGGGGAGCTCTGGCGCTTGGAGACTGCCCAACTCACCGCGGAGATGCCCGGCCGAAGAGACGGCGGGAAAGGAGGGGCAGTCCTCGGCGGGAAAACTGATGCGGTTGTTGGCTCGTTCCATTCATCCAATCTGAACCATCAATCCATCTCTACTCAGCGCGGCATCAGAGGAATTGTCATGGAGACGTGCGCGGCGGCGAACACCGAGAGACAGAATCGGGAAAAGAAAAAGAGAAAGAAAAGAAAACCACATCTTTTTCCCCCGTATCACTAGCGGGGCCAATTTACCGCACCAAATTCACTTAAAGAGACGGGGCACTGGGGCCCCGAGAATAACAAGCTCATACGGGAGGGTAGGCCCGTGTGTGTGACGGTGCGGCTTCGGTGAACTGAGAAGAAGAAAAAGCTGGAGCGGGGAAGGGCAATCAGTGGGAGCGACGGTGTGAAGCATATTGCCAAGGGGGCAATAAGGGACACGCTTGGCGGCCCGCAACGCCTGGAAGGGTTGGAGAGTCGAGGCTCAGATACTTTAGAAAAATGCCGACCGCTTTTTACACTTGTGGCCGCCCCTTGTATTGGAATATACACTGGACCAGGGCGGTAGGGAACAAAATGCAAGGAAAAGTGTGAGGTGGATATAACTTGATTTTCTCCAATCATATCGGCGTGGGTAATTTATTAGCCATTATGCCAGGGGACTTGTAATATCCCGAGGCTTTCCTGGGTCTGTTAAACAAGATATGAAATTAACAGACCTTATTTTTTCACTCGTCTTTCAGTTTGCCCCTGTGTTTCCCATCTCGCGTAGCCTTTGATTTGTTTCATTATCGGTAAAAGAGCGGAACTCATCGTGGGATGCCTGATCATACTAGCACACAGTCATCATTAAATCAGCTCTGCACAAATGCACTCTGTATAATGCAAGATACCGTTCACGATGAAGAATATGAGGCATCTTAAAGATGCACTGTCTGTGCTAAGTCGAGTTTTACCCTCGAGAAGTAGAGATGTTGGTTTTAAAATATTTGTTTTAGCAATATAAACTTACTCACCTTAGAATTAGACACCGACAAAAAACAAGACCTATACATTGAATTATAAAATGCATGTAATTACTTTACAAAGTTTGACAAATTTGCGGCAGGACAATAATTTAGTTTTCGTAGAATAGACTGGTTCCCGCGCTATTAACGATCAACCCTGTTGGGACCGGTGACCCGTTTACACGGAGGATCTGTTTGTGCGTGAAAGCAACCCAAAATAGGTCCTAAACCAAAGGCTACTCTTCATAGGTTGCAGATCGAAGCCCAACAACAGGTATTTAAAAAAAAAAAATACTTAAATATACAAAAAGAAGTTTGCAGTACATCATAAAATGAGAAAGAAAAACAAACGCATATAGGATGGGGTTTGTGGGTTTACTTGCGTTGTTCATCTAATCTTTAAAATTGCCCGTGTGGGGTCAGACAAAGACCAATTTATGAGGTACCCAGGGAGACAGTACCCCACAAGTACCCCTCGGAAAAAACCCACTCCACCCAGTGGCGTAACTAGTGTTAAACTTCTGAGGGAGCACCTGGGGTGCACACATTTTTCGGGGGGGGGGGGGGCACTGAAGGCAAGTGCCCCCGGTCTCGTGGTCTCGTGGCCTAATGAACAGGGGGTAATAATCGTGAAGCGCTTAGGCAACATATTATCATTTTATAATCTAGGCTTGTTTACGCGTTTTGTTTTGCAAGAGTCGTATCGAACTTGTATGTCTTTATTTTGTCTTTAATTATCATCATTGCTTACGTCAACCTTTGAAAACAAATTCCCTCAACTTTGCGTCTTGCGAGGGAAATATGAAAACACTCAATGCAATCATTATACCTGTTACCTGATTATTGCTCTTTGCTCATTACTGTTTGATGAGGGTTGATTACTTATAGTCGTGGAAGTTTGGAGGTAAAAGATCCTTCACAGTCACGTACGTAATTATATTAGCGTCATTAACGTCACTGTTGGGATGTAATATACCTATTTCATCTCGTATGTAGCGTTTTCTTACGATGCAATATTTTTGTGCGTACTCCGGGAAAATGTCGAATAGGTAAAACAACCGTTTTACGTGCTTATACCCCATTACTTGCTACAAAACAATGCTATTTGTGCACGGATCTTACTCGGAAAACTTTTACATCTATGTTGACGTGGCATCGGTTTTTTGAACTTTTTTTTTTATTAAACGTGAGTCGAATGGAAAATGGTATTAAGGTTCAAGTTGTGGATGGGTTGACGGAAAGTGGTTCTCTTCAATGTGGAAAATTCTTTCGAACCAATATTAAAGTGATCTTTAGTGAAATTAACATAATCGTTGAGAGGAATTAGACATGACTAAGACATGAATTAGATATGACTGAGATTTTAGATATGACTGAGATTTTAGATATGACTGAGATTTTAGATATGACTGAGATTTTAGAGTTGGCACACCCTTGATGCGATACATGTGGTATTAAAATAACGGGGCCGTATCATAAGTCCGACGCCTCATACGTCCGACGCCTCATAAGTCCAAAATTTCGGACTCATGAGGCGTCGGACTTAATATGAGCGGACCCCAAAATAATATTCCGACACAGGACTACTTTGGTTTCTTGGGTTTCTGATCCGTGCTCATCAATGTATTTCACCTCTCCATGTTCTGACTCTTTATAAGTGTCAAATTCGTCCCCAAGTTAAGTACTGCTGTCATATATGGGGTGATGCCACCAACTCCACTTCCGTGTCTTGGACCAAAATCAGTCTCAGACCATTCGTCTTGTCAATAATGACAGCCTCACCAACTCACTCCAGCCTGTGCTGGCCCACCGACGCTGTGTTGCTTCCCTTTCAGTTTTTGACTGTTACTACTTTGGTCAATTTTCACAGGAACTGAAATCTATCATGCCCAAAGTTCACACTCATGCTCGTTCTATACGAGATCTACCACCAATGCTCATCCTTTCACAGTCTCAATACCTAGGTCTCGCACTGTATCCCACACATCATCCTTCATTGTCCGCTCATCCGAATTGTGGAAATCTCTACCACAATCGTTCTTCCCACCATCCTACAACCCATAGTCTTTTCAATAGCTTCATCAACACGCTCGATCTCTAATATCACTTTCTTAGTCTCATTTCCTCTGTCAAGAATCTTTTGCTTTCCTGCATTTTCTTGGAATTATTTACCACTAAAAAAATACAAATCAAAATTCAGAAACGGAATCCATTCCAAAAATACAACTCGCTCTATTTATTGAGTATAAGGGAAACTCCCCCCCCCCCCGATCAGTTACCACCCCCTGGTCACATATCTGTCCTACTATGTCACTTTATCAATCTTTGAGAAACCATAAGCCTATCCTCCTTTTTGCTACGCGCGTATAGGCGTAAATTTAGTTTGTAAGGGTACTTCGGAGGACCGCAAATGTCACCACCATGTAATTTCTTTTTGTTAGAAAGAAATCGTGGACAAAATAAGTTTGCAGCCCCTGCTTGATCAAGTGCATGGATTTCTTCATATCTCTTAAAATGACAGTGTCCTGATAGATAGGTTTCTTGAGGCTTTCGGCAGACCTTTCAGGATAGAGGGCAGGAATCCGTGGTTTCATTTGGCCTCTCAAAAAACAAGTAAAATAAATGCACAGTAAACTAAAAAAAAAACCGGGACTCATGAGAGACTTGAGCTATTAAGCTAAAAAAAAAAATAAAAAAAATAAATAATAATAATCACCTTCAAACCAGTCACAGACAATAAAGTTCGCAAGAGATTTTCTGACACGACATGCTTTCGTTCAGCAGACATTTTCCATGCTCAGCAGCTCAATTAAATTTGCTCCGGCATTCCCTAGGTCAGCTTGAATGACCAACGACGACTGTTTCTGCGGCGTGAGACATGAAACGGCCGTCGACGCGATAAGTGCATAAACATTTTTTTGCGTGACTTGGACAGTGATTGTGATTTGCTGCTACTAGTTATGGGTGACAGTTATACGCAACGCTTATTGGTTGACTAAACTGCTCATTCTTTTAGAGTACAATGCTGTTTGATATACTTAATCTGCAGCGCGTGGCTCGTTAGTGGACGTTGAAGGCCGAACGTGACTTTTCTGATTGTTTTGGGCTGACTTTACACGCAAACAATGCAGAAGTGGCAATGAACTATGTATTACTTAACTACTGAAATGTCATTGGCAATGACACTTTCAAGTGGGTGTGGTCATCTAAAGACGGGGTTGGGAATGGGCGGAACTATGAATAGGCCTAAGAGAATTAACAGACTGGGCGAAAAATGAAGACGACATTAAATGACAACGAATGCATGCTTCTTGATGTAGGCATGGATCTATACATGCATATGAAAAAACTCCATAACTAATGCTAACCGTGATGAGAATGACGATGACGGCGACAGTGACAATGATGATGACAAGGGAGACTTCAAGTAAATTAATGAAGCTAACAATGCCATTGAACGTTGGCAGTGACAGTTAGTGCGTGGATCGTGGCTATCATGGTAGGCCTATGCACATTTCAAAAGACCGTAAAACCACAGAGTTTATTAAAAATGAACAAACGAACACACCCCCACTAAAAAAAGCCGACATTATTCATGAGAATGCCGTCAAATCACAGACGAGGCTCGCTAACCCGTCTGCAGATAACTACACGGCGGTAAGCTTAGACGGGGGCTCGGGTCTTCTCTAATTAATTAACCAATCAACGGTCTCCGTCATCAATGTGGCAAGGGTCCCCTGCAGAGGCAGCGATTTGGCCCGTCGTGATTGACAGCTCCTCCTCACTGATGGCATTCCGTGTGTTGCATCCGTGATGAACGACGGGACCCATGATGATCACGATCATGATTATGATGATGATATTGGCGGGGACTTGGCGAGGTTTGCTCGTTAAACAATGGCTAATTACACAGGCTGTAGGTGATTATAACATGATACACAATTCATCACGTATATAAAGCGTGTACCAACTGATCGGCAGGGCTGCTGGATCTGGAAAGGAGAAAACGGGCAACTGGCGCAGGCCGCGTGAGCTAAGTTCACCCAAAAGCCCTAGAGTCTTGACTGTGAAGCGGGCAGTGATAAGGACCAAATGTTGTTTGCGGTTGCACACGGTGTACAGCTGAGGGCTTGCCGAAGTTTATCTTCACGTGCTATCTCCGGACTAGGTCGTTTCATCTTCCGTACAACCGTACAGCTAGAATTTCAGTAAACTCCTCGATTGTTTTTCCCTTCGAGAGACAACGACTCAGTTTTTGAACAGGGATTTACTATCGTATCATCAGCTTGCAGTAAAATCTCGTGGAATCCAAGATGACGGGCGAGACGATACCCATCGGGCATGGGGACTTGCACGGACACATCTCGGCTCCAAGACCGCTGGTGGTGGCCTCGTCGTCGGTGGCTTCATCCCTGGTCTCCTCGCCGGCCCAGCGCTCCCCTTCGCCATACACGAGCTGCTCGGGCTGGGCCGGACCGGGACCGCCACCGACCCCACCATCATGTGTGACCCAGCCACGGCGGTCGGGCACGACTCTCTACGGGCTGCTCACATCATGCGGACCCATCATCTCCACGCCATGGCTGCTCTGCCTGGATTCCACCCGGCCTCCTTGTACTTCGCCAAGCCGCCCATGTTCGAGCCGGCCACTTTGGCACTGGCAATGCACAACCGACTGGTGACAGCAGCCACCTTGCCCCAACCACCGTCTCTATCGCCACCCTCACGTACCGAGGAGCGACATCCGATAACAGGTGAGCTTTATAAAATAGGGGAAACATTAGGCGTGAGACTGACAATGCATTGTGACAGATAACAAAAACTAATTCCCTTTCGATAAAAGTTCGCGATTCTAATACAACTGGATTCCACAGTTGCAAACTGCGCCGTCAAAACTTATTGAATGTATTTGCTCGTATTTATAAAGTAGGCCTATAGGCCTAGGGCCTATGCAAAAAATACGACTTCGGTAACGCTCACGACGGCGACACAGATATTTCGGCATTTGGTTGAATCCGATACCGGATACAAGTAAGGAAGTGACATTTGGGACTTTGCAAACATGTAAAAAAAAATATCTGAAAAACAAATATTTCTTTAGAACAAAAAAAATTTCACTGATCAACAAGACTTGCTTAATGCGTTAAAAGTTCCGAAGTGATTACTCGAAGTTGCACAATGCCTATTGGTTAAAAAAGTTACAACGATAAAACTAGTAATCATCATTAAACACCATAATAAACTAGGAAACATTGAGTGAATAAAAATATGCAAAAATGGTTGGAAATAACTCTGTTGCCATTTTTTGTTGTTTCACGTTTCCTCTTTACAGTCTCATACCATGCTCATAATTCTCTGAATTCTCATGTGTATTACCAGAAATCTGAATTGAAACCATCTTTCACTTCATGCTATCTTTAAAGCCTTCAAATCGGGGTTGTTATCTTATTGCTACTCGTAATGATTTTATGCAACGTCTCCAATGCAGATGGGGCAGGCCTATTATAAAAAAGATGACAGTTTTCTTCGAGCTTTCAATACAAACGTTGACCCAGACGATCTTGATTATTGAATGTTTTCACCCAACTTGTAAGGCCCACTCAACCACTCCCCCCCCCCAAAAAAAATCGAATCATTGGTAAAACAAAAAACTCCAAGTATTTCCGAAGAGTCAAGCATGTTTAGTATTTTAATATTTTACCCTGGAAGCTGTCATTTAAAAAAAGAGACACCAAGTGGGCAACAAATGAAACTTGACTGAGTGGACACGTCAGTCAGATGAGATCACAGAGCAACGGTAACAGAACTGACAACAATGTGCCCCACACTGCGCGCCTTTGAGCCCGCTAGAAAGGCCCACCCGCCTCCACAATCTCGCCAACATCCGCCGATTTCCTTCTCAGCGTTTCCGACTCGTTGTCCGGCTCTTTGAGGCGACACTGGGTGTCGTGTCCCGGGAATGAATGGGAGACAAGAAAGGAAAAATCCCCGTTACAATCAAGAACATGTTTCTTTTCCCGTCTTCAATTGGGTGCTAATTTATCGTACCGTGTACGCGGCGCGAACCCCCCGACGAGCCCCGACAATAACCGCACAGTGTATTCGTCCGGAACTCGTACCACGGCAAAGAAACTTGGAGAGGAATTATTAAAGGCTTCCCTTTTGGAAAGCAGACAACACCACAGAGACAATATCCACCTTTGTCGCTCTGTTGACATCACTACATGTTTTCCAGAGCATTTCGGATCTCGATTTGTGTGAATAGGAATGTGCATAAATGGGGGGAAAATGTTTAATTAAAGTACGCGTGTCATCGTCCTATTCTCTGGAGGCCGTTCGCAATCACCCCAACGTGGGGCGGTGAACAATAGCTTATTTTTCAATCAGTTGATTGGTATAGCGGTCGCTGTTCGCTTAGTTGTCAATACATGCACTCTGTAAACGCTGGTGCGTTTTAGATGGGAGAACTGCGTGCAATCTCTGCCTCCAACAGATGGTTCATATTTGCTCAAAAAGTTTTAATCAGTGGAAAGGAGAAGTAATCGCTCTCAGCAAACGGTGGCCCAGAAAAAGACATATACAAATGTACAAATTGGACGAAAACTTGCACAGGGTTTATATCAAAATTATTTCTTGAGCTAAATGATCCTTATTATCAGTTATAATTAACGACGTGGTAATCAGGATTTACCTCGCACTGCATGGAAAACAATCGGACATTTGATTCATTATAACATCATCACGCCTATTGGAGAAACTTTTTGTTTCTGTTTTCACGATAAATCGTGATCTAACCGATTGCTTCAGGATCCATTGAAAAAAAATGTTAAAATGCTTAAACTTCATGGATCCAAAAATAGTAGAAATCATTCCAAATATAAAGTCGAGATGGACATTCCTCCAATCTCAGAAATTAAGTTGTATGTGATTATCATCAAGGATAGAAATAAGACATGTATTATTCTGTCTCAAAGTGCATACATCTAGTGATTTGTACCATCAGCTAGACTCACAAACATTTTGCTATTAAAATTTGAGGAAGGCCTACGAGTAAAGCTTTTTCCTGTGTTAAATGTGGATCGATAGGGCCTAGCGGCCGGCAAATGCTATACAAAATTGCGATGCTAAAAAATCCCGAACACGGTGTACTTAATACTGAACAACACTTTTCTCTGGGATATTTTTCCGTGAACATTTGATTTGGTTCCCAATCAGGTATGTGCGTGCACGATTGTGTTCCCCGTGTGCTGACACAAAGTTTCTACACCAAGTGCCCGGCATGAAATTGTTTCAAATCTCTGCTATGAACAAACTAGTAAAGAAGCTAAATTGGTTTGTCAAACATCAAGGTACTTCCCTATTTTTTTTTTTTTTTTTTTTTTGGCGGACACTTTATAGACCCCGACCCCTTAGGTGTGACACTATCGCTAATTGTGAGTAAACACCAACCGTGTGAGATTGGACACTTTTGGGTGTCGGTAAAACGGCTAATCCTGTTTGCTAGTGTGCATGACCACGTACGGAGATTACCGCTCTAGTGTGAAGTATATTAGCCTACCTGGGCCCAATTTCATAGAGCTGCTTAAGCAGAAAATTTGCTTAAGCACGAAAAAACATTGCTTAGTAAAATTAGGTTACCGGCCAAAACTCCATGTGATGTACATAGCTTGTGACTGGTATTTAGCTGTTGTTTACTTAGCATAACAATCGCATGGAGTTTTGGCTGGTAACCTGATTTTATTAAGCAAGACGTTTTGTGCTTAAGCAAATTTTGTGCTTAAGCAGCTCTATGAAATTGGCCCCTGATGTATGGTGACAGACGCTTAAAATGGTTCCGTGTTTTTCTGTACGCCGCTGCAAAAGACGATCGTTAAAATGTCAGCATTTTTTGGATGACACTGTAAGCGTTCACACATTCTATTTTTCAACGTGAGGCAGGGTATTTCACGAAAACGTGTCAATGCACCTCGCAAAAATGAACCAAAACGGATTTTAGGCCGTACTGTAGTTAAAATTATAAATTGATATAAAACTCTGAAGTTGTTTTCTTCATGCGAATAGTGGTCAAAACTGTAATAATTACGTGAAGCGTGATTAAAATTGGTCTCAGTTTTTATGGATGCCATGATGTTTGGACATGTTAATTTTTTCTTATTCGCGGTAAAAGTTGGGAGTGTTTCCGATTTGTCTTTTAACAACGTTTTGATTATTAAAACAATCAAGGTTTATAGTTGTTCATTTTGGTGGATTTAATGCCTCCATGCTTTATTAAGAACAGTTTACCTGAGGTAGGCCTATATACGTGCTTTTTCAACATTTTCTTTTCCGAAAAAAATATAAAGTAATATAATGTCTTGTAAACAAATACATTTACTTGTTTGTTTTTGCAGGCCCTCATACAGTTTTAAAAATTGGTTGTAAATGGCGAGCTCCAGTTCAGAATTTGCGCACACTATTCAGAACAAATTAGGCGCGTCCCGCTCTTAATTCAAAAGTTGACATTAATTAATTGAATACTTGTCATGGGCCGATCTTTTCGTGCGATGTCTCGTTGGAATCCTTATAACTAATGGTGGAAAATTATCAAGTCAATTTGAAAATCTAGTTTTCAAAGTGCCACACCCAAAAAGCACGCATACACCAATTCACGATATGTAGGATTTACGATATATATGATTTACTTTCATTGCATAAATTACATATAGCTTCATCGCTGTAGTGTTTCCCAATCATCTCGCTCCCGTCATATCAACGATCATTGAATAATTGTGTATTTTACCGATCGACCCAGCTGTTCAAACGTTGTTGTTGAAAAAACATTATGTCAGACACGCAAATAAATGAGAAGCTTTCTTTCGCCTTGACAAGTTGTAGGGTACTTTCTTGTAATGTGTAACGATAAGGCTTTCCCACCAAAGTGTGAATGGATTTACAAATAACCGCGCGCGCAACTCCCCCCTTCCTCCGCCCGAAGGAAAAGCTGGCTAAAGTGATCGCATTAATAAGCACACACGACGACACACGAAGAGCATGCCGTGCGGTCAACACCTTTAACCTACCACAGGCAGGTTAAGGGAGGACTATTGGTTTAACATGACCGACTCAGCGCGGCCATTCCTTCAGTCCATGTGATGTACTTATTCTTTGACGAGCTATGCTAATAATAAATCTGAGATTTGTGAGAGGTCATTCATCATTGGTGGACACTCTCTTCCTTTTAGTCCCCCCCCCCCGAAGTTTTACATAAATGATTACTTCGTTCTTCAACTTATGGAGCCTTAAGTTCAAATTAATTTGTCTTGTGCAGGTTTGTCCCCAATTTTTAAAAGTAACGCAACAACGACCGTTATATCGAGAAAAAAAAGCGTATAGACCACTGCGTAAATTAGAATCGCATTGCTAACTTTGTACCGAATGATTCATAACTGTAAACTGTTTCATTCGAAAAAAATAATTGGAAAGTTAAAAGGTAAACATAAACGGTAAAGGTAAAATGTATCAGGTTAAAGGTGGTATTTTCAGTGTGTGGGTGTTTCAGTCTTAAATTGCATTTTTTGAATTTTTCTTATATACACGCGCACGAATAAAACTGAAAAATGCGAAGTTAATTTGCACATCATCAATCCTTCTTTAATAAAGCACGGTATATTAAGGGATTTTTTTTATGTTATTACGTATTTCGATGCCAGAATTTGTGTACGATATTAAGCAATTATTTTAAGATTTCTTGTGTTCTTTAATATACCTCCAGCTC